GGTATTCTTGTAAATTCCACAGCACATGTTGTCAGTGCTGGATAATAGCAAAGATGTCTGCTAGGTAGCTCCCAACAATCCTCTAGCAAAATATTGTTAGCCAAGAAGTAAATATCTACTTCTATTTCCTCATTTGCTTATTGATGCCTCTTGACCTAAGTAACCAATTTTATATAACATATTGGGAGAAGAAAGGCTTTCTTTTCCATTTTTTTTCTGAGTTTCCAGAAGAGTTATTTTATAGCTTATAGCCAATAAAGCTCTTTCTCATTTTGATGTTTGGGTATATGATGTCCAAACTGTGATCATATTTAAATCCTAGAAGGATGTCTTTGCAGAGTGAGATCTTGAAATAACTGTAAAACTTCATGTTCTGAGAAACATTTATTCAGAATGATCATGTGGACTTATGCATGTGAGGAATAATAACATACCACATGGAGATGACTCCCAAGCACTTTGTGAAAATATATTATATGCAAATACAAATTTTAGAACACTGTGAAAATTTTAATAGCATGCTTTACCACATGAATATATTTACTTAGCCTCTCAATAAACTTTGTAGTCTGTACCAAATTCTCCTGTGCCATTTTTTGTTATTGCTATTATTTTTAACTCCATGAATTATTTATTATAGAAGGAAGTCATAATTTCATATAAAATTATTTTCTTAGTGGACATCTATTGTTTTAATTTGTCTTCCTCTGTAACCAGTGTCTTCAAGTTATTCAAATTTTACCCCATGTCCTTTGATTGAAAAATGCTATTATTGTCTATAGTACTCCATAGTCCTATAGATTACAATCAAAGAAGTCTTCTCATCCATGAGAGGATAAGGTGTCTCACATACTTAAAGAGGCAGAAAGGCAATTTCCTTGTAGATGAAACTCCTGATATTTAGAAGGGTCTAACTCTTCGCACTTCTATAAGGGTCTACCAAATAAGATCTGCATTTTCTTTGTCTTTCTACTGAGAAATGTCAAGTTACTGTCAAAGAGACTTTTGGCAGTCTTCAGGTCCCCAGACCCACCCTAAGACTAGCCCATTCTCTCCTTCTGTCTTTAGCTTTTCATGCTCTGAATTTTTACAAAAGGCAATGTTTAATTTTTGATTTGAGTATTTGCTAAGGTCTCTGTTATTCATAGTGATAATGAAGGAGGTTCAACGGTAGACCATGAGGTCTCTGAGAGGTGAACATCATGAATTCAGAGACAGACAAAGGGAAAAAAGAACAGTCACTTATCTATCATTTTGGTGAAGTTTTTATTCAAATCTTTTGTCTAGTTTCACTTGATTTTCTTTATGATTGCTAAGTTTTGTATGATACCTGTATATTTTAGTACCAGTTCATTTTCAGATATGTGCTTGGGAAAATTTTTCTTCAAGCCTGTGCCCAATCTCTTCACATCTTAACTACCTTTTGCAATGAAGGAGATTTTACCATTAGTGATGTGCAACTTACTGTTTTTTTTCATGAGCTATTTATTAGTTATTATATGAAAAATGTTTTCTAAACTCAAGATCTAGATATTTATATATGTTGTTTACTCATGTGCAACTTACTGTTTTTTCATGAGCTATTTATTAGTTATTACATGAAAAATGTTTTCTAAACTCAAGATCTAGGTATTTATATATGCTGTTTACTCATACTTGTACAGTCCATTCTTTTTACTTTAACTCAGTCATCTATTTTAGCAAGTTTTTGTACAATATATAGTATCAGCATATAAATTAACTTAGTGTGTATGTTTGTTCATCTTTGGTTTGTTAGCATGTGCATGCCTAGTTGAATAACACAGAGTCATTTTGTGAGCACAATTAGAGAAAATAGATATTTATTCCTTTAAGAATTATTAATTAAGCAATATATATATATAATGTACATTTTAGATTCGAGTATGGTCTAGTTTCCCTTGGTTACCCTTCTTACCAGACTCACTTAGCAAACTTCTTACCTGATTTATTCATGAAAGAATCTGGGAATTCCTCACTCTACATCAAATATGCAATTATTCTAAATGCTTTAATCATTTAGAAAAATACTTTGGTATGATGAAATCAATGCAGCACAAAAAGTTGTTTTCTTTTTTGGTGCCTTCATCTTTCTAGAGAGAATGACTTTAATGTCCAAATTTCTTTGTAGCTGTGTTGTCCTGTGAAATTTGGTTAGTGGACTCTGAATGTCCATTACATTTCTTATTTGATGCTTCATGTTGTTTTTTTGCCCACATTTGCCACATGCAAAATAAAAGTTTAATGACTCACTACAATGCTGAGCTATGAGAGGAAACCTTACTAGATCACTGAAGCCTTGAAAATGAGAACACCAAAGCCATTCGAGGAACATATCTGAACTCTATGCAAACAAACAAAGAAACAGAACAAACTTTAGTTTACTTTGAGTTCTCATTTATAGAATATGCAGAACAAAGCTTCCATTCTACTTCAACTATTCCTTGTTACAGTCTAAGAAATTTTAATCTATGGTTTAAAGCTATGGGTGAAGACATTTAAATGCTTATAGAAGCAATGATATTTGATTCTAAGGTTATCATATTATCTAATTGTTGATGAATTGAATGTTAATATTTGTATTCTACTTAGTGTGTTTCTCCTTGTTTCATTTAGCACATTTTTGCTGGGAAACATGTAGCCTACAAATGACATCAATGTATTTGTTTTCTTTTACTAAACAGGGATGAGTAAAGAAGTAGGTGAATTATGGAATGGAGTAAACAATACTCATTTATCTATGGACTTACCTTATTCTCCAATTAGAACTACAATATTGTAACTTATTTTTATATCCTCGTAACACTATGATGTTGAATAAATGTTCAATAAATATTTATCAAATAGTATTTTAGACTTACTCTTTTTCCACAAATATGCATGAATTTTATATACTCTTTTAAAAATAATTTTGTCTATATATTCATAGTTCCTCCACGGAGCCAAAATTGGATGGTGAATATGAAGAATTGTTTCCCATTCTCCTACAAGTATTTCTTGAGAAGAAAATGTACAAGCATTAGTGAGACTTAGAAATACCAAGAGAATTAGCAATCAAGTAGTTCAGTTTCTCTTTATTTTCATTAAAGAGGTGAAAGGCCTTTAGAGTTCATCAGACACTAAAAGTAATGATGCATCCTAATTAAGTAAATGTTCCGTTAGTTTTCTTGGTCGTACACTGTAAAAAAATATAAGGAGAAAAGGATTAAATTGTTTCATGCCCCTCTCTCCTTGATAATATACTTCCCTCAGCCCCATCTGCAGAAATCCTCTTGTGGTCTCTCTCTCTCTCTCTCTCTCTCTCTCTCTCTCTCTCTCTCTCTCTCTCTCTCCCTCTCTCCCTCTCTCTCTCTCTAATATTTCTTAAATTTCAACAGCATCTGTGCTTAATATTTCTATGCTTAGTGTCTTGTCTTCATCCTGGGATTGGTATTTTCCATATAGACTTCAGTTAATTGAATATGATTGTAGATGTAATAGTCTTATTAAATAAGAAACACAGAACCAAATGCAGAGTTAAAAGCCCAAGAGGTCAGAGCAGTAGCTAAGAGCTGAGACTAAAACTGCCTTCTTATCACTCGCTGTTGCTGCTGTCCTTCCCCTGAGAAAGAGACCTACTTCCTGTGTGTCTGTCGTTTTATTGACTTTCTGTTCTGCCTTCTCATTGGTTGTAAACCCAACCACATGACCTCCTCATCCCGGCCTGTCTATACAGACTTCCAGTTCTTTATGGTTGGTATTGAGATTAAAGGCATGTGTCTCCAAGCTGGCTATGTCTTTGAACACACAGACTCTGCCTGCCATGTGATCAGATTAAAGGCATGCACCACCACCGCAGGCTTCTGCTATGGCTTGCTAATATCTCTGACCCCCAGGCAACTTTATTTATTAACATACAAATAAAATCACATTTCAGCACAAATAAAATATCACCATATATGATTCTCACTTTCTCCTTCTGTCTCTCCCTCTCCTTCTCTGTCTTACATGATATTGTCTGTATCTGCTATACTGATACTATTTGAATATGAGTAAAGCTGTTTGCTCAGTACTATATTAAAACAAGTTAATGCAATCTATAGATTCTCAACACTTCAGTTTATTTGTAGAAAATAGTGTGATTTCTTGTCTTCCAGCATCTAAATGAGTACATTGCTTCTAGAAGCTTGAAGGAAGTTCTGTTTCCTTTCCTTTTCTAGATTCCAGAAGGTTCTCAGACAGAATGACCTGGCTGATCAAATTCAAAATAACTCCAGCCAATATTCTGCTCTTGCTGTCAACTCTGACTCATAGCCTATGCCTCCATTTTTGAGATTTATAGTTATAAACAAGAATGTCTTACACATCACAAGGTGCATATTATAAAACTTGTAAATCTATTTTTGTCATGAAAGGCAATATTCACAAATTTTGATTTTTAGAATGTGAATATTTTGAAATACAGATGTTTACTAATATAACGATTTGACAAAGTAAAATAAGTTAATCCTATAAATGCCAAATCACAAAAATCATATATAAACTAGCTTTATAATTCAGATTATATTAAAATATTTTATTTTTCTCTGAATATATTTTATTTCTACAAAGCTAATGAGTATTTTAAAGTTGCAGAACATACTAATGTAATTTAAAAAATCACTTAAAATTAATATTCCCACTTTAATTTTTCTTTTCAATACTAGAAGAAATGTAATATAGTGAATAAGAATAAGACATTGGAGGGCTGGTACAGAAGTTAAGAGTGAATACTGCTCTTACAGAGGACCTGAGTTCTATTTCTGACACCAGTCATGTGGGGCACAATAACCTATGTCTCTCGTTCCTGGGGTAGCCAAAGCATCTTGCCCTTGTGATCACTTACATTCACATGCACATCACCACACACACACACACACACACACACACACACACACACACACACACACACACACAATTAAAAAGAATAATAAATAAATAAAAATAAATAATTCAGTGACATCTCAGTAATTTATCTTTTTTTTTAATTTTAGAGATCGTAATATAATTAAAACATTTCTCCCTCAAAAACCTCCAACATCTTTTTTCTTACATTTATTTTCAAATTCATGACTTCTCCTTTCATTAATTGCTATTGCAAGAACATTTCTAAATACAACCCACTGAATCTGTGTAATGTTACTTCTATGTAGACTTTTAGAGGTGAATGTTAGTATTGGATAACAAATTGGTATGCTCCTCCCTGGGGGAGACTATTTCTCCTGTTTGCAGCATTTCTTGGTTGCCTTTATGTAGGTCCTTAGATTGAGTTGTTGCCTAGTCAGTTTTCCCTGTCCATAGTGGTCTTCTTATAAACTGGTTTCACTGTGTAACCTTAACGTTTTGATCAAATTTCCAGGATAATGTCACACGGAGGGGCCATTATTCGAGACTGTAGCCAGTGAAGTAAAAAAGAGAGCTGTCCTCTGTCTTTCTGTCTCTCTACTTTGTCTTCTTCCTGTTTTGGTAACAGTGGGAAAGGCTATGTAAATATCCAGTAAGGCTTCTATCTGCAATGCAGAAAGTAGACCCTCTCCAGGGACCACATTTACAAACAACTGGACCTGGAATTTCTTAGTCCCTACAGCTGAGAAAAATAAAGTTCTGTTGTCTTAGCCATCCAGTGTATGATGTGTATTCACAGCAGCTGGAAAAGACAGATTAAGACAGAAGTTAATAACTCATCTTCAATTTCTGTATACAATACTTCTCCATTTTCAAATAAGTACACTGATTTATTTCACAGCATGTAAAAAGATCAAGTTAATATCATGACTAGTCACATATTTATAAGTCAAGGGTTGCTTGTGAAGACTGTCGTTTCTAACAGGATTTGGCTTGCTGGGTCAATGTATAGCAACAATATTGTAAAAATATTTTGAAAAAGAATATTTTACTTGGTAACTATATTTCTACATATTTAGATAAATTAAATATAACAAGCATTATTTCAAATGCTGGAGAGTTTAATTAAGTACTTAGTTTCAGCCTTTAAAACAACATACATTGAGCTTTTCCTATGTGTTGAGTACTGTGTTAGATAATAGGAATAAACAAAGAGGAAGATGAAAACAGCATAAAAGAAAGACAAATGTGATTTTTTTTCATGTGGAAAGAGTAGTTAACGGTAAGTTATTTGAAATGCAATCAACTTATTGAGCACACAAACACATCCTGCAGTACAAACTCTACTCAAAAAACGTTTCTTGAAATGTTTCCTGAATCATAAAGAATGTTTTCAACTTAAACATTTTAATTTGGTAAGGCAACAGATTGGGACATTTAAAAATGTTTATACTTTGCCGGGCAGTTGTGTCACACTCCTTTAATTACAGCACTTGGGAGGCAAAGGTAGGTGTAATTCTGCATTTGAGGTCAGCCTAGTCTACAGAGTGAGTTTCAGGATAGCCAGGGCTACATAGAGAAACCCTGCATCAAAAAAAAAAAAAAAAAGGAAAAAGTTTAGATTTGATTTTTGTTGTTGTTCCTTTATAATTTATAACAGACATTTAACAAATAGATTTTGATGCTCACATTCACTTTTGGTTTGCTGTATAAATAAATAAATAAATAAATAAATAAATAAATAAATAAATAAATACTTGCATGAAATACTCAAATGTTGACATATATAAAAGATTGAAGTAAATTATAATGGCTTCCTTTTCTTCAGAATTTTAAATGATTAAAGTTTTGATAGTTTGTTATAAATTGGAAGGTTTTCTTTGATTACTTCAAGAAACCTGTTTTGTTCTGCATGTTTCCATTACATATTCATATATCTTTTATATGAGGGTTATTGGATCATGTTTCTCTCAATGCAATACTCCCATTTTCCATACGGATTAGAAATTTAAGAGGTAAATCAGATGTGCTTTAATGGAGTATTATATTGAAGGTAGCTAGACTTTCCACAATTTACAGTGTGAGGGAGAAATAGTCTAAAGACACTCCAACACATGTACAAACAGAAAACTGAAGGCACTCCATGGGAAATCAGTATTATAGTGTTAAAAACTTTCTCCTCATATGAGGGGTGGAGGAGTGTCTGTAGGATAAATTGGAACAGAAATAGAATTAGTAGCTTCCTAAATGCTCTGAGATAACTAGCTACACCTTATTGGTCTTTGTAGTTTTTTCACTTCTTTCCATTTATTCTCTATCTTAATCTCAAATGATGCCAGCTCTAAAAACTACTAAAGCATTTAATTGATAGAGAATTCACAGTAGCTAAAAGCCTGGAAAACTGCATCTCCAATCCCATAGATCCCTAGTTGGCATATGCTGACAATAACCATGTCACCTTGTACTTTTCATCTTCTTTGTAAGTATGAAAGGACAGACTAAATGATCCTTATAGACCATCTAGTTCCAACACATTTTTACTTAAGATTCAAATGCACAGAACCTGTTTATTTAACAGCATACTGATCTTATAAAATTAAATGCAGAGATTATAATACACAGAGGTACTAAAGAATCTTTGGACACTTTCAACAAGAAAGCTCTAAAGACAAAATAAACACAGCGAGGAGACTAAATTGAATAAATTTCAATATCTTAATGAGGACAAATATGCATGCATAAATTTGTGTCAAATATGATTCTTTTTTTATGCAAGTAACTATCTGTATATATATATATTTATATATATATAAATATCTGTATATATATATATATATATATATATATATATATAAAGAGAACCCTTCTTTAATGGGCTCATGTTTTCATATTTTGCTATAAATTAGATTTTAATGTTAAAAAGTAACCTAAAGCATATAGATATTTTTCTTTACAAGAAAACCACAACATGATTTCCTTAATAAAGTATTTATTTTGAGGAGACTGGTGAGACAACTAGGCAAAGTGAACACTTGCTATCAAGCCCTAAAGCTTAGGTCAATTCTGGAAGCCCACAAGGTGGAAAGAGGTAAATGGTTTCCCATGTGGACCATGGCTCAAGAGAGTGCGCACACACACACACACACACACACACACACACACACACACACAAAAAAAAAAAAAAAAAAAATCTAAAAGTAGTTAAAAGAATATATGTACCCTTCCTTTTGGGGGGTTCTGAACATCAAATCAAGAAATCCAGCTATATTCAGCATAGAGTATAATGCTACATTCTATTTTTAGCACTAAATCATTTGAATGTCCCCTTGGCAGATTTTTAGCAAGGTAATAGGTGAAATATATTGGATTGCAGCTATAAAGGAAGAAAAGACAGGGAGGCAAGGAAGACCCATCACTAATGTGAAGTCTGCTAAATGAATAGCTTCCAATGAACGTAGTGAAATGCGAGGAGAAATGCTCTTAACTCAAAATTAAAAAAAGCTGGCTTCTGACAGCACTGTAAAAACCACACTTGTTCTGAAGACAGAAGATGGAGGATATAATGTTTATGACACTATGAGGGGGTTGAGCTAAGTTATCATATGGTTTAATATCATATTCAGCCATGTAAATGAATAATACTTCGAATATTACAAAACTTTCCTGAAGTTTCTAAACTAAGTTTCAAAAGATGAGTATTTCTGCTCCTACATTATTTTAAATGTTTAAGAACAACATTACATTTCTTTTACACACACACACACACACACAACACACACACACACACACACACACACATACACTTGTTTATCTGTTGAGCCAAGGTCTTGCTACATAGCCTAGCTTGACCTTAAGATTATTGTCCTACTGCTTCATTTCTAGACTTCTGAAATTACAGAATACAAGTGTGCATCACTATGGATGACTATAAAATAAATTTTCGTTTCATTTGTCTGACTTAAGTCAAAATGGGTTCTCCATAAACAACACATTCTTTTTAACAGTCAGTTAGATACATGCTTTTGAATAACATTCTGTGGCCCTCATGGCAAGAAACTGTTGTCTGTATACTCCACAGTTGTTAAGCTGTATTTGCCATGAACATATCTCAAGATGTTGATTCTCTTTATGTGGCCTCAGATCCTCTTAGCAGAATTTATCAGCCTCTATAATAAACACGAAGATCACCCATCTTTTAGGAGAATTAGACAAGGAAGAAAAACTTCTACTCTGTCGCAGTATTGGGGCAGGTGTGCATCCTGAAAACAGAAAGAAAAGTTATGATAGCATGTCTTCACTTAATTTTTGCCTCTGACAGTCTTGTCATTATAAACACTATAGATTCTTGAGCATACACATATTATTGTTTTCTTCAATGGCATGACACCTAGCTATCTTTCTTTCTGTAGGTTATAGTACTGATTTCTACATTGTTGATTATCATAAAAGAAGTGTGTTTTTAGTCAATGGAATTCTAGTATATATTTCTGTTGAGGCTCAATTCATCTTAGACATGTATATTTGCACCAAGTAGCTTATCTTTTATTATTGACATTTGGGTATAAGGTGCTATGCCAGAATTAACAAGAGAGGGAAAAATTTAATGTAAATGATTTGCCAATGAAATCTATTTTATAATTCAAAATTGCAATGCTCTTTCTTTGATAGTCTCCTGTGGTGTTTTGTATCCAGAATAGTCAGCGTGCACTTGCGTTCCAAGTTCACGCAATTTGCAAGACTTGTTATTCTCCACATTTAGCAGAATGTAATAGCAGTACTATCAAGAGCTGCCCCTCCTCTTCCCAAGCGTGCACATGCACTCTCTTCAGGATAACTATGCACAGGTGGGGGTGCTATAGACTCTTGGCAAGCCAGAAGGTTGATCATGACCAGCAAATATTCACTTGGGACATACTCACTTGTATCAGATGTAGGAATTGGAACTAAAATGCATGCTTAATAAGAGATTTCTAGCGTTATCCTTTCTGTAAAACATGAAGAGATAACTATGGCTTTTTAGTACTATGGCTGAAAGAGTATTTAAAAAAAAAAACATAGCTAAAGTGTTCTCCTAGCATAAATAAAAATGAGTCGCTACCCCCTTATTCGCTTCATTTCCAGAAAAGAAAGAGTTAAAGGGGAGGGTGATCCTTAAATACACCTTCAGAAAGCAAAGATTGCTTTACCTGCCAATGTTTTAAAGCAGGCTAGGAAGGACCTGAAAGTGTTGATATTGTCTCCAAAGGCCCCTCCCCACTTCAGATCCACACTTGCTGGCTTCTACTCTTTCAGGAAAGAGGAAAAGAACATTTCCACTGACCCAGCTCCTCCGTGATTTACATACAGAGAGGAAATAAATGAATGGAGTGGGGGATGGGCTACTGAGAAGCAGAAAATAAGATTACTTACCAAGAACATTTTTTACCCACGGTAAATTCTTAGCCCTTCTATCACTCAGCAACTCAGTTTTTTACAACAAATAAATCGATTTCCAGGTTACCATCTCCTCCTATTTTTAAAACAGACAGATGCCTAATTTGTAAGCTTCAGGGTTCAGGAGCAAGACTGAGCTGGAGTCCAGGGCTAAAGATCCCTACCTGATTGTGATCTCTATACATCTTCTGGGTCACTCAGAGCATTTCTAAAGATGGGGACCCGGAATCTTCCCTAAGAAAAGATTTTGAGGAGCAGCGGGGTGATGTTCATTCTATGGTCAAAAAACAAATCACTTACAGAGTTAGCAGCCTTTCAGTCAAACAGGCAATTCCCCAGTGGCAGTAGATTTCCAAGTGGAGAGAAAAGAGTGAAAGACAAGAGAGCGGGTGGGGGAGAGGAAGCAGGGAAAGAAAGGGTGAGGAATAGGTTTAGGGAGGGAGTGGATGGGGGGGGCGAAAAATGGGGTCAGAGAAAGGAAAAAGGAGAAGAGATCGGGCTAATCTTACCCAATCGATCTGCTGATCAGGTGATCGTTTATGCGGTATCAGGACACGAAAATGACACGACAATGCAATCCAGAGCAAAGCCATTTCTCTACTTTAGCTGCATAACTGCAGGAATCAAATGCAAGGCAGACCCTGCACCAACCGACACTCCTGCAAACCTCTCACCCTACCCCCCAATGGACCGGTGTCAGTCCTCAGACTGTCCTAAAATCTAGCTTCTTAAAGCATGGTTTTGGCGCTGGGGCTCCGGATTCAAATCAATCGCCATAAACACAGGCAGCATGATTGATCAAGGAATTGGGACCTAGGAGAGATGCTGCCGCCTAGGCATCCCATCATCCACTCCTGGGTCCCCTTGCTTAATCCTCCAAAGCATAGCGCCCTCAAAACCTGCAAGCGACTAGAGCCTTCAACCATTCATCTCCCAGCCCTTGTCAATGCAAAAACCGCTGAGGATTTGATCAAGGCAATGTGGCCGGTCCTGCTTGCTTATTTGGGGTGTGGGTTTGTGTCAGGTTTTCTTATTACGCCTCCCTCAGTTGCTGCGAGAGAAAGGGTTTCAGGGAACTGCTAGTGAAATGCACTGATGGAGTACTATTAATCCTAATGATAACGTTCCCGGAGCAGGTAAACTCTGAAAAGAACTGCGAGTGGGAAGACCCTGCAGGATTTCCGAAGCGGTGCACTCCTGAATTCTCATTGGATCGTCCCCAGCAGCCTAAGTCACTGCCGCTGCTCTCTGAGGATGACTACAGCCTAGCTCGCTCACTAGTTCTCTACTCCCTGTCTTCAACACATCCTGTTACTTTTCTTTGCAGATCTGTTTGTGTTATGCATCTTGTTCTCGTGCATTATCCAGCTTCTCTCTTTCCTCACTGTGTGGGGACATATGGTTTGGTAAATTTGTTCGGCTGAGGATCATCACAGAAAAGGTCCCCACTGCTACCTGTCCCCAGTTAAAAAACGCACTTCTTTAACCTTTTACTTCCTTTACTATGAGGATCTTGGCCCCTGAATAACTGGCTTTCATTTGGTTAGAAGCCATCAGGAACCGCTGAATACTTTCTGAGTCCTGCTGCCCTGCAGCCCACAGATCTACACTGCTGTGGAAGACCATGGAATATTTGCTTGAATCCTGGATGTATTTTTCTCACAGTCATCTTGCTTCATGAAATTTCCTCTGGTAAGTATCTCTGCACATGTGATGAGCAGCTAGTAACTTGTTACTAGTGTTAATATTTTTTAAAATATGCACTACTTCTCTCTTCTCTCTCTCTCTCTCTCTCTCTCTCTCTCTCTCTCTCTCTCTCTCTCTCTCTCTCCTCTTCTCTCTCTGTCTCTGTCTCTCTCTGTCTCTGTCTCTCTCTCTCTCTCTCTCTCTCTCTCTCTCTCTCTCTCTCTCTCTCTCCTCTTCTCTCTCTGTCTCTGTCTCTCTCTGTCTCTGTCTCTCTCTCTCTCTCTCTCTCTCTCTCTCTCTCTCTCTCTCTCTCTCTCTCTCTCTCCCTGCCTGTTTTGCATAGTTACTTTCAGATTGCAAGTACTTATGTGACCATTAGTATATGCTGGAATTAGTAATATGTAGCACCTGCAATGACTTGCCCCAATATATCCTTCTTAAAAAAAAAAAAAAGTCCCTATTTATATTCCAAGTTTCTATCAGGTAATGTGGACATCACCTCCCCCCAATTTACTGCTCTTGGAACACAGTGTTGTACCATTGAAAAGGACATTTTTTTGCTGTTAGTTTCTGAAAATGCCTGAAGGAGAGATGACTACTTCTGGGTTTAAGAAAGTTCACTAGTCTCTCTGAGGTTCAGAAGGCTGTCCAGGTCGATGTGTGCTTGCTCCTCTCATCCTAAGTGTGTGAATGGCTGAGAGAGGACTTTGGTAAAATGTGTCTCTACAGATTGAATAGGATCCTGAGCACTAACATGCATGGTAAGAAAAGGAGTCTGAGTTTTGAGGGCACAATTCTTATACAATATCCTCAGCATACATGGGCACATTATATTGCCCATCGTGCTTCCTGTTTAGGCAGCATATTGCAATGCATTTCAGGTTTTGTGAATTATGCTGGTGAACAGTTAATTGGTCAGGGAGGTCTCCTTTCAGATGAAGAGAGCTATCAGAAGCCACTGATTATCTGGGTTCTAATACATTGAAATTCAGGGAGGGACTTTACATGAAAAATGTAATTGCCTCACTCCTCGCACTTGCCCACCCCTGCCCTCAGTTTTTAATAAGTATGTTAATATGGTCCTTGCCTTGTGCTTTCACGAACATTTCTATGGGCTTTAACTGATGATCACTTCCTATTCCACCTCGTTGTGTTGAGAAACACTTAAATGTTGGCTTTTACTTCACATTGGGGCAAGTGTTTAGTGATTATCAAACACAAATCTGCATGTGTCAGTCATCTGTAGAGCACCAGGAGAGATTTTCTGTGATTATCCCCCCCCCCCAAAAAAAAATAAGGACAAGTTTCTGCAATGTTCCCCTTTATTGGGCTGGATGGAGGTGAGGTTCTATTGTTCAAGCCTCTCTTCCCTAAGTTTTTTTTTTTTTGGGGGGGGGGTTCTTTTTAATTTCTGGGAAAGAACTATTCCAGTCATTGATGGCTGCTGCGACAATTTAGGCAATGATTTCTTTCTTTTTAATTCAAAAGCCTTTTAAGCTTCCAGACATAAAAGTACTCCAGCTGCAGCATCGCCCCATCCCCCTCCTCTCAGATTCCAGGGCTCTCCCCCTTGCCTCCCGCCGAGTGGGAGAGGGACTGGGGTTGACACAGTGGTCCGCACCTCTTGGCGTCCCTCACCCAGAGCTAGTTTCTACCTGCTGTCTTTGCCAGTTCGGTCCCTCCTGCCTGACAAGCCAGTGCCATTAGCGTCCGTGACTTCATTTGAAGAGACGAGGCTTTGGTGTAATTCGCCAATTCAAATATCCTCTCTAGAGGACTACTGCTGTTGCGCAAGGGTGGAGGGAGGGAGAGAGAGAAAGGAGAAAAACTTTCAGTGCAGTCAGACCGTTTTCTGCTTAATCAGTGTGGCACAGTGAGGCACAGACATTCGCTGTCTAGGTAAGTACGTTTTGCTGTGTTAGAACCCCGAGCTCAGCCTTGTCTGAGGGAAACTGACACAAGAGACAGGCTTTCGCAGCCAAGGATGCTTTAACTAGAGGGTTAGCAACAGGCGACTGTGTCTGGAGATTTCGCGGCTGCTCCGAGCTACCTCTAAGCCTCCTGGGTTCTGGGGAGATAGAGGGCAAAGCGCCTGCTTGCCTGGCTGGCCCAGGGCTGGTGAGGGAGCGCGAGGGTGGGGATAGAGTCCCCGACCCGCTGGCGAAGGCTGCGCTCTCAACCCTGCGGCTCCGGGTGGACATTTGTAGCCCAGGAGAGTGGGCACACAAGGGTTTTGCAACCTCCCGCAACGCCTGTTGTCCGGTCTTTCTGGGCCCCCAAATCTCCTCTGTGGGAAAGACAGGCTTGCTTTTTTTCTGCAATCTCTTAACATTTTTTTCTGCGTTGCAATTTCTTTATTATTTTCCTGAGCTGAATCCTAAGCACATTGCGCGATGCTTCTCCAGGTTGATTGTTTTAAAAAGCCCTGATCGCTGTCTTTATCTGTTTGTTTAGTAGGGCTTAGGATAACTGAAGGACTTTTTTAGATCAATGTTAAAGTATTGCTAATCATCATCACTCTTTCCTTTCCTTCCTTCACTAACTCACAGAATCCGGAGGGAGGCAGGGTAAAGTGAGTTGGCTTTTAACTTGGAGCCAGGGCTTGGAAAGCAATGTTATCCGCAATCCCAGGCGTAGGGGAGCTGCATGTTTATATTAAAGCCACTGTAAAGTTCTCACTTTTGTATTGCTCACCCCCTTTTGCTGGAGGTGGGGGTGAGAGGAAAGAAGACCCAGTCCTGGGCGCTCTGCTCCGGAGGTGACCACCAGGGAGGGGGTGAGGCTTCAGGGCTGCGGGTTTCATGCTGCGTCTGTAGCCAAACAGTGGCAGAGAGTTGGAGTCTTTGATGCCTGTTCTCCCAGTCCCTCAGAGTTGAAACAGAAAGCCTCCTACTTGAGGTCCAGAACGTGATCAGTCCTTCGGAGCAGGGACCTCCTTGTAAGTGGAGCATGGCTGGGAGATGCAGTGTAAGCTCTATTTGAAAGGGTAAAATGCACTTTCCCTGCTGTGTGAGCTGCCAAACAGCTGTTAGAAAAGAGGAGGAGGTGACCAGGGTTACAAATTAACCCTAGCTTGCTTGCAAAGGACAGCCAGCCAAATGTATGTAAGCTAAGAAGAAAGCCCCAAGCTGTAAAGCTGTCACAGTGTGGAGACAGATGATTCAGATTCTGGGGACTTTTGATTTGTTTGTCATCATGCAGTTAACCAGGTAAGGACTGAATGTCTATATGATATCATCAACTGTCTGTTTGACCCATCTTGTGATGAGATTTTCATTTCAAACTACAGAATACATACATTTTCAGATGGTCCTAACATCTACAACTTCTTAATATTCACAGTCATGAGTACATTTAATAACATTTGAAGACTTGATGTGAATTCATTTAAATGTTTAATGTGGTTTTATTTAAACGTTAGACAGTGATAGAAAAATCATAAAATGGATCTAGGTGAAAGGCAGCGACTGGGAGGGTAGAGAGTTAGAGGAAGAGGTGGATAGTCTTAGTGAAATATGGAAGAGGCAGTTACAGAAATGCCTTAAACTGCTCCCATTGCTGGGGTCACACACCTTTTCTATGCAGAGGGTGACTGGAGCACTATTAAGGGCCTCTTGAACTAGGAAAGTAGTTTTGACTCTTTGTGGACATTCTTGTTCTATTTTGTCAGTCTGTAAAACAAAATTGCTAGGGTTTGGCATTGGGTTGGTTTAGAAAATTGAAGGAGGAGGAGGAAGTTGCCCAAAGGCTGAGTTTTTACATGAACCTGGTGCAAACACCTTAAAGTCTAAGAAAAATGGATGAAAAACTGAAAAAAAAATGAGAGGAAAATTATGGGAACACACCTCAAATAAATCTCTTTTTATTCAAAGTTGATTGGTAAATTGAGCAATCAGTAGATTTTTTCCACTCTCAGATTTAATTCAATTAAAATGACAATATATCTGCATGGTCTAATGCTTTATTATTAGTGTTCTCATTTTGTTATATTGTGGGTACAGTTGAAGGAACTAAGAATTTGCAGAAAGTGAAGCACAAAATCCAACAAATTAATAAGGCACCATCATAAACCATGCAGTTACTAATAGCATTTTGTCAAAAAAATTATCCTTACAATTCAGTGGAAATAATTTTAGTGCTTACATTTATTGATGTGGACCCCTGGTTCAATATTTTTCCGGCTTGTAAAGCTCACTGATAAAATATTGAATAAATAAGAATAATTGCAACTTTGGGTTGGAAAATTGCAAAGTTATAATACTTTTTTTTCTTTTAGTTTGAGGCATAAAGTAGTTTTTAATCACACAAGAGAAAGTCTTCACACATTTCAGTTTGTCAATTCTTTTGTATTTTAGTCTCTGCAGTTTTATTATAATAAACATACTCATTGTATCTCTGTGTGGATATGCACGTCTGTGTCCAGTTTTGGATTGATGGAGAAGACATTTATGTCAAATATTAATTTAAACAATAACCTTGAAGTGAAATATGTAGGATATCATATAATGATCAATTTAATTTACTTTTAACAGGATCAGATATGATATAATCCTCTCATGAGCTATTTTGTTTTAGGAAACCCAATATTGTAGTATAAAAGTATGATTTATAAATTATGACACCTGTTGATTATTTTCAATAAAATTATTGGTGTACTACAGCTAAGTAAGTAAGATATATGTTGAAAGAAGTCTCTATATTTAAGTGTAAGTGTTCAGATACATATTATATAAACATGCACATGTTATCCTTACCATTAACTGTGCTACTAGATTGGTGTGTTATTAAATGCAAAACAATTGCCTTCCTGAATGGTTCTTCATAGGTGTCTCTCTGCAAGAGGGAACTGAAACACAGTCTTTGGCCTTCTAAACTTTGATGCTTCATTGTAAAACTCTGTCAAGGCCCTTTCTTTTTGCTATCGTTTTATTGTGTTCCTATTATTATTAAACTGAAAAAATACTGATTAGAGCAAGATTCTAAAATTTTTAGTAATGTAGAAAATTGAACTTACTATCTAAATATTTCCAGTGTAAATGGGACTATGAGAACACCATGTGACAAGGTTAGCATAAACTTCTTTTTTTTTTTTAAATAAAATTCAAAATGTGTTTGTAATTATGTTCAAGATTTAGGATTAAAGTTGCAGTCTTCTACGACTCTTTCCACTGTACTGCTTCACCTCTTTGAGAGTCAGGGCATGGGGAAGGTCAAGTGTTGGTAGATCTAGGACATTCTCCTGCATCTCAACTCTAGTTTTATCTCATTTATATTGTTCTCCTAAGATTTCTTCCCATGAGTTCTAACTTATTGTTCTCATTTCTCACATGCATCACAGAGAGGAAAGAATGCTTTTAAAGGACAAGCCAGGGTAAAAATTAAAGATAAACATGCTGCAAAAAACTGAATTCATCACTCAAAAGATTCTGTTGGGTTTTAATTTCTTAGTGTCAAATAGTGTTGGGACTTCCTGAGACCAAATGTTGACAGAACTGTTTTTAATGGAAGTTTCAAGTATCCTTGGTCCCTGTGCAGTGGTGCCACCTGAGTTTAATATTATGCAATTTTTAACAAGAGAAGTAGCTCACGGGCTGAAGTACAGTAGCTGTGATTTTATTGACAAGATATTTACCTCGGATTTTATATTCTTTATGAAAAGACAGACACTTTTAGAAAATAAGCCTTTTGATAGACTGACTTTTTATGGTTTATAAATTAAATAAAATGCTGATCCTTAGTGGATTTATATTAACTTATATAATTAGTTTAATGATCCCCTCCTTCAAATGAATTACAAGTCTTCTCATATAATAATATCAAAGTAGAGAAACCTAAATATTGTAATTTATAGTATTTTTATAAATTCACATTCAGTTTATTAAAATGAAGGAGGGTTGACATCTGAACTGTTGTGTATTAATTTAGCAACTATTTGGAGAATTTCTTTTAGACACATAGTGGTATAATTCTGAACAATATTCTGTTGTACCACTATGTGTATTATATTACTTCATGACTTCAACATTTACAATTCATTAATTACCATTGAAGACAAAAGAAAAAAATACAAATTTTATTGTTTGTTAATGACAATTTCAATTGTTTAAATAATAACAAAGTGTAATAATATTTATTCTGTTCTATAAAAAAAGAAATGAGTCTTAGAAGTTGAAATTTAATCTGAGTACTAATGGGCTTTCCACTCAATCAATACCTGGAAGGTTTAGCTAGGATCAGTTCTTTGCCTTCTTAATGGTATCAAATGGCAACTTTAGTTCTTTACAATGGTCTTCAAATAATGTGAATAACGTTTTAAAGCTCTTATTACAAACCTTTCCAAGAATATCTGATGAGCTATAAAGAATATTTGTATTTAATTACTCACAAATACTCCTACTCAATTCCAAAGGTTTCATAGGTAACTCTTTTATAAGTTATGAATTTACTGCTCTGTATAAAGTTTGAAATAAATAAAGCAAAGGATTTTTGGTGTGTTTCCCAACTAATATTCAAAGTAACAAAATTTTCATTCTTTAACAAGAAGGTAAGCCCAACTGTGATTCAGTAACAAATTTATTTATTTAGGGGTGAAATCCCTGTGTTGTTTAGAGACTTATTTTTAATTAGAAAGTATGAATTATGTTTCAAAAAGTGATATGTAATCTACTTACTTGAGTAAACACCAATTCTCAATCTCTTATTTTCTATCTTAATGTTATTTGTAAGAGTTTATTATTTTTAGAGTTTAAAATATATTTATCCATATTATGATATACTTTACATAGTCTTTTAAGCAGTTTTTTTAAGTGTGTAAACCCTAATTTACCCAGATGAAGATGCCTTTAAGAGCACCCAAAGCATAACAAATTTTCCTTAATAGCTAATAAAGGAACTATCATATAGTTCCAGCAAATTAAATCTATAAAATACACATTTATTGATTGAATTAATAAATATATGAACATTACATTCAAATGCATTATAGTGCTCTGCTATGTAAGAATTATTCTCTCATAATGGTGTGTTTCATTTAAATTCCATTATAGATTTATTGTGAAGGAATAGTTACAGATAGACTTATTCTTTCTGAATTCTGTGAGGATCAGCCAACCTCATCAGGATTGAGCTAGCTTTTATTAACTTTTCTGGACTCTTGCATCTTGTTAATTTTAAAATCCATCTCTAGAATATTACACTATTAAAAAACAATCTAGCCTTGGAAAGAACAGAACTGAGTAAGCATACATTTTAGATTGCTCAGTCTCAAATACTGGGCAGTACATTTGTAGATTCACGAACACTCACTTTCACACTAAAACTTAAAAAACTATTTTAAATGAGATTCATGAAAATAACCAGTTTGGGGAAATGTTACATTAAAGAATATGCTTGAACATTGTGGGTTTATTAAGCTGTCATATTTAAAAATCACATGCATTCCAACCTGTGATATTTTTTTGCCTAAAATTCCAAGACTTAGAAACCCGAAGCTAGACAATTTTTCTGACTTCAAAGCTAGCTAGTTTAGGCTTCATAGTTTTAGACCAGCCTAAGCTAGGAAGTGAGACCTGGTCTGAAAAACCAAACAAAATAAAGCAAAACAAATCATGGTTATTATAGTTGTTTATTACTGTGCAGTATTTGATATATGCACACTTTGAATACTGGAGGGTTTGTGGCTGCTATTAGAAATGCTAATTAATCTGAGGCCTTCTATCACAGCTGTTGTAAATATAAAACAGAACTAATGCATTTGGGAAGATTTGGAGATAAGTGATGTACTCAAGTTCAAGTCATATCCTTAGTGAGTAACAATCTTCATAGTATAAAAAAATTCAGACCTGAAAATTAAACTCTGTAAATGTAAATAGAGACATGGAAAAACTTTTTAAATAGGAAATTGTACTTAAAGAGTTATAATCACTTCAATTTTATTAAGAAAGCCATGAAAGTTTGAATAAGTAATACTGAAGATGTGTGCAAAATGATGCTTTAAGGTCATTAATTCATAGTTTTCTCAATGTTTTGTGTATGCCAATAAACATCTTAAGATGTTGACAAAATAGAGTTTATCAATGCATTACAATTGAATGGTTATAACAATAACAGAATTTCTTATTCTCCATCTCACCACCACTTATCTAAAAAGACATGATTACGGTGCCTTTCACAAATGGTATCAGTAATGTTGGTGATTATAATACAGAAT